CGGTGCTGTGAAGCCTGATGGGGATTGCACCATGGCCGTGCTGAGGATGAAGGTGTGAGTGAGCTCAGCCCCATGCCCGGCTCTCGGGTGCATCACGTCATTTCCCAGCTTTCATAGACGGAAGTAAAACCTGGACATGAAAATATTCCAGCTGGGAAACCAGACTCTTCCCTTAACAATGCCCTGTGCCTGTGCAGATGACATTAGCAGCATTCCTGCGGAAGTCTCCGGAGGGGACATTGTTCCGTGTTTTCAGTGCAGGAGATGAGAAGATGGATGAAGGAAACCTAAACCCCTCCGTTCCCCCATGGCACCAGCTGCCGGGGGCTTCCCAGTGCTCCCGAGAGGTAGGTGGGACGAGCTGCGCTTCCCATGGGAGCGCTTTCAGGACCGGGGGGGTGTCGGCGGTTCTGATGGACAGGCTGCTCCTGCTGCCCAAGGCTTTCCATTCTAAATAAAGTTTTCCTGCTTTTGTAAACAGCGTCTGCTTGGGCTGACCGGGAAGTAAACACGGAATCCTGGAATGGTTCGGGTGGGAGGGGACCTTAAAGCTCATCTAAGGACACCGTCCACTGGAGCAGGATGCTCCAAGCCCCTGTGTCCAGCCTGGCCTTGAGCACTGGGGCAGCCGCAGTTCCTTGGATAACCTGCTCCGGAGCCTTCCCACCGCCTGGAAACCGCCCGGAAAGGTGGTTTCCACCTCGCTCCGAGCACACGAAGCTCCTGGGATAGCGGCCAAGAGCTCGGGACCAGCGGCGCGGAGCCACCGCCACCTCGTGGTCCCCGCCGGCCGGAGCCCGCACGGCCGGGTGGGCGCGTTCCATGTGCTGCATCCATGAGCGCTGCGTCCAAGTTTAGGGATGAATTAAAAAGTCCGGCTAAAAACCCTTCCCAAAAGCTGCAGATCCCCCAGGGGCTGGTGCTCAAATCCGATGGGAAGAGATGGCACTGAAAGAGTACTCCTGGCTTTTAGAATCATCGGATCAGAACGGTTTGGGTTGGAAGGGACCATCCCAGGATGTAAGGATGGGACGTGTCCGGGATGCAGGGATGAAACATGTCAAGGTTGAAACATGTCTGTGATGCTGGGATGTAGGGATGGTGTGTGATGGGATGCAAGGGTGACATGTCTGCAGTGCTGGGATGTAGGGGTGATGTGTGATGGGATGCAAGGGTGACATGTCTGCAATGCTGGGATGTAGGGATGATGTGTGATGGGATGTAGGGGTGATGCATGTCTGCAATGCTGGGATGTAGGGGTGATGGGATGCAGGGGTGATGCATGTCTGCAATGCTGGGATGTAGGGATGATGGGATGCAGGGTTGTTGCATGTCTGCAGTGCTGGGATGTAGGGATGATGTGTGATGGGGTACAAGGGTGACATGTCTGCAATGCTGGGATGTAGGGATGATGGGATGCAGGGGTGATGCATGTCTGCAATGCTGGGATGCAGGGATGATGTGTGATGGGATGCAGGGGTGTTGCATGTCTGCAATGCTGGGATGAAGGGATTATGTGTGATGGGATGCAGGGGTGATGCATGTCTGCAATGCTGGGATGTAGGGATGATGGGATGGGATGCAAGGGTGACATGTCTGCAATGTTGGGATGTAGGGATGATGTGTGATGGGATGCAAGGATGATACATGCCTGCAATGCTGGGATGTAGGGATGATGTGTGATGGGATGCAAGGGTGACATGTCTGCAATGCTGGGATGTAGGGATGATGTGTGATGGGATGCAGGGGTGATGCATGTCTGCAGTGCTGGGATGTAGGGATGATGTGTGATGGGATGCAAGGGTGATATATGTCTGCAATGCTGGGATGCAGGGATGATGGGATGGGATGCAGGGGTGATGCATGTCTGCAATGCTGGGATGAAGGGATTATGTGTGATGGGATGCAGGGGTGATGCATGTCTGCAATGCTGGGATGTAGGGATGATGGGATGCAGGGGTGATGCATGTCTGCAATGCTGGGATGCAGGGATGATGTGTGATGGGATGCAGGGGTGATGCATGTCTGCAGTGCTGGGATGAAGGGATGATGTGTGATGGGATGCAAGGGTGACATGTCTGCAATGCTGGGATGTAGGGATGATGTGTGATGGGATGCAGGGGTGATGCATGTCTGCAGTGCTGGGATGTAGGGATGATGTGTGATGGGATGCAAGGATGATACATGCCTGCAATGCTGGGATGTAGGGATGATGTGTGATGGGATGCAAGGGTGACATGTCTGCAATGCTGGGATGTAGGGATGATGTGTGATGGGATGCAGGGGTGATGCATGTCTGCAGTGCTGGGATGTAGGGATGATGTGTGATGGGATGCAAGGGTGATATATGTCTGCAATGCTGGGATGCAGGGATGATGGGATGGGATGCAGGGGTGATGCATGTCTGCAATGCTGGGATGTAGGGATGATGGGATGCAGGGGTGATGCATGTCTGCAATGCTGGGATGCAGGGATGATGTGTGATGGGAAACAAGGGTGATACATGTCTGCAATCTGGGATGCAGGGATGATGTGTGATGGGATACAAGGGTGACACATGCCTGCAATGCTGGCATGTAGGGATGATGTGTGATGGGATGCAGGGGTGTTGCACGTCTGCAATGCTGGGATGTAGGGATGATGTGTGATGGGATGCAGGGGTGATGCATGTCTGCAATGCTGGGATGCAGGTATGATGTGTGATGGGATGCAGGGGTGATGCATGTCTGCAATGCTGGGATGCAGGGATGATGTGTGTCTGGGATTCTGGGATGTGGAGATGATGTGAGCCTGGGATACTCAGGTACAATCCGTGCCTGGGGTGTTGTGATGCAGGTATGATGTGTAACAGGGGTGATGTGGATGTGTGTCTGGGATCTCAGGGTGCAGGGATGATATTTGCCTGGGATGCAGGGGCCATGTGTGCGCGGGATGTTAGGATGCAGGAATGATGCGTGCCTGGAATGTCAGAATGCATGAGCAATGTGTAGCTGGGATGCAGGGATGATGTGCGTCCAGGATGCTGGGATTCTGGGATGCCGTGTGCCCGGGAGGCAGGGATGATGCGCTGGAATGCCAGGATAATGGTCTAGGCTACTGGACACCAGGTTCTTCCCCACGTTGCCAGCAGATGCTGCTGTTAAGCCACAGCAAAGCCCTGCCCGGGGGTCCCGTCCTCATGCCCGTGGGTGCCAGCACCGGGGCGGGAGAAGGGGGGGATGGATCCTCACTGGTGCCGTGTTTCCATCCCGCGGTCCGCAGCCGTGGGGCGGGCAGGGCTGGAGCCATGGACGCGGGGGTCACAGCTCCCTACGGAGCCCTCAGGGGACGCTGACGGGGGGACACCGATGGGGACGGGGGGGGGGGACGGGACCTGACCTGGTTGGAGCATCCCCACGGCCCCGTCCCCGCCCCAGCGCCGGGAGCTGCTGCTGCTCCCAGACTCGCTGATTCGTGGCCAGAAAAGGGCTTTTAAGGGAAAACCCACCCAGAAGCGCGCGGGGCTTTCAGTTGGGTTTTTTTTTTCCCTTTTCCGCAGTCGTCTCCGCGCCCGAGCTCCCAAACTTCCTGACAGCGGCCCCGGCCCTGCCTCCGCTTCCGACGCCGCCAGCGCCAGCGCCAGCCCCACGGCACCGTGGCCCCCGGCCAGGTGAGTGCCACCGTCCCCGGGGCTGGGGTTGGGGGGCTCTGCCGGAGGGGACGGTCCCAGCGCCGTGCCGGGGGCTTGGGAATGCCGCAGGGTCCCAGCGGACGAGGCAAAGGGATGGGGACGGGCGGATGGGGGATGAGGGGACAGCGGGATGAACGTGCTGTGACACCGCGTGGTGATCCCCTTGCTGATCCCATTGCCGATCCCGACCCTGATCCTGAGCTTCGTCCTGGTCCCCCTCACCCAGCCCCATCCCTGTGGGTCCGAAGCCTCCAGAGGAAACTCGTCACCCATCGGGTTGTGCTGGAGGAAGCGCTGGAGCAGAGATAGTGGCTCCGGGGGAGGGGGGGCAGCACCATGTCCCCAGCAAGGATGGGGCAGGGCTGTGTCCCTGGTTCCCCGGGCCCCTGGTCCCCGGTCCCCAGCCCTGCTGCCCACCCCATGCTGTTCCCTTTGGGTCATGTCACCCCATCACCTGTGGGTGATGCTCCCCATCCCACCCAGGGGTGCTCAGGGGCACCCATGGGGTGGCCCCAGAGCAATGCCTCTTCGGGGGAGTCTCTTGCCCCTATGGTGACCTTGGGAGGGCTCTTCCCCACGACCAGTTCCCCCCCCCCACCCCAGTGAGGAGCAGATGGGGCCCACCAGCGGGTTTTGATGACTCCTCGCTTTTCCTGCCAGCATCTCCCAGCAGTTCCTGTTGTTTGGAGCAGCGCTGAGGGCCCCCCCACATTGCTAGAGCAGGGAATGGGGCCTGCAGCGGGGCCATGGGGAGGGCTGGGGGGGGTCTTCCCGGCTCTGCCCCCTCGGGAGGATCCAATTCCTTAATTAATGAGCAGTTAATTCCTCACCGCTGGGAGCCGAACGGAAAAACTTTTCCATTAAAAGTTTTCCCAGCCAAACCCAACGCCTGCGGGATAAGGGGGGGTCACCCGCTCCCTCCATCCCACCGGATGAGCTCCGGGGGTGCCGGGGCAGCACTTTTGGGGTGTCCCCATGGCTGGAGCAGCGTGGAAGCATCCATAAATCCAGCGGTGCCGACCAGGAAACCTCTGTTTCCTTCCCCGGCAGCGGGCTCAGCCGCAGCACGCGTGCCCCGGTAAACACGGCCCCGCGGGCTCGGGGTCCCTTCCTTGTCCCCCCTTTCCCAGCCCCAAGGCTGGCAGCGATCCCGGAGCCGCCCCGGCAAAGCCGGACCCTCATTGGGTTGAGCAAGAAGCTGCTGGATCCAGGAAACACAACAGGGAATAAACACGGAACGGGTTGAGCTGGGGCCGCGCGGCGCCGTGCCCGGGGGTGGGAGCCGCCGTCCATCCCGAATTCCACCCTGGCACCTCGGGTACCCCCCGCACCGCGATAGGGAGGTGCCGGGATGCAGCGTCGGGATGCCGGGATGAGGCTGCGTGGGGCCACCCAGCGCGGCCGTGCCTCAGTTTCCCCTTGGCACAGGCCGGGGCTGGGATCGAGGAATGCTGAAGGCAGCCCCATGGGGATGCCGGATCCTGCTCCGGAGCCGGGGGTGGAGGGTGTGGATCGGGAATGCGGTGGGGCAGAGGGTGAAGCCGCGGTCTCTCCGTGCAGGATGGTGCTGCGGGCTGCGGCGCTGGCGCTGCACCTCTGCCTCCTGTCCGCGCTCCGGCCCAGCGACCCCAACGTCTGCAGCTACTGGGAGAGGTAGGACTGGGGGCACTGGGGGTGCTGGGGGGTGACGGCGGTGGGGTGTCCCCCCCCCCCCCGAGACCTGCCCTCACCGTCCATCACCCCGTGTGCCCCCCATCGGAAGCTTCACGGTGGCGGTGAAGGAGTCCTACACCAAACCCCACGTCGTGTCCTCCGGCGAGCCCTGCCCCACGGTGATGGGCACCTCCCTGCCCTGCCCGCAGCAGAGGTGGGAGCACCCCCGACCCCCGGCACCTCTCGGGGACTGCAGGGGGTCCCCACAGCCATGGCGGGGCTGGTGGGGGGCTGCCCCACTGCGGGGTGTCCCGGGGGGCTGTTGGGTGTCCCCGCTGACGGCAGCGGTGCCGCAGGATCGTGCACCGCACCGAGTACCGGCAGGCGCTGCGCACCGAGTCCCGCCGGCGCTACCAGTGCTGCCAGGGCTACTACGAGAGCCGGGGGACCTGCGTCCGTGAGTGCGGGAGCGGGGCGGGTTGGGGGGCTCCGGGGGGGCCCTGTCCCCGCTAACCCCCCCCCCTCCGGCCGTGTCCCCGCAGCGCGCTGCTCGCAGGAGTGTGTCCATGGGCGCTGCGTGGCTCCGGAGCGGTGCCAGTGCGAGCCCGGCTGGCGAGGAGCAGACTGCTCCAGCGGTGCGGGATGGGGACAAGGGGGCGGCACGGGGAGGGGGTGCATGGGGGTGGGATGGGGACAGGGTGGAGGCTGGGACGGGAGGAGATTGGGATGGGGAGGGAGGTTGGGAGAGGGATGGAGGGTGGGATGGGGACAGGGAATGGGATAGGGATGGGGATGGAGAAGGGTGGCGAAAAAGGAGATGGGAATGGATAATGAGGGGATGGAGAACGGGATGGGGAGGTTGGGATAGGATAATCACGGGATGGGGATGGAGAATGGGCTGGAAATAGGATAGAGATGGAACTGGAATGGGGACAGATTGGGATGGGTTGGGGTTGGAGAATGGGATGGGAGTGGGTCGGGATGGGGGTGGAGATTCGGATGAACAGAAGATAGGGATGACTATAAAATATAAGGTTGGAGATGGGACTGTGATGGGGATGGGGATGAGGATGAGACGGGGTGGAGATAGCACAAGAATGGGACAGGGTGGAATGGAGTGGGTGGGATGGGAAGGGACGAGGTGGGATGGATGGGAAGGGATGAGGTGGGATAGAATGGGGTGGGGTGGGATGGGATGAGGTGGGATGGATGGGATAGGGTGGAATGGATGGCAAGGAATGGTTTGGGATGGGATGGGATGGAACGGGTTAGAATGGGATGGGTTGGGGTAGGATGCAGTGGCAGAGGATGAGACGCTGTGCACACTGTGGTCTGGGCTGGGCTAGGCGGGAGAGGATGGGATGCGATGACACATCAAGGGCTGGGATGGAGAGGGGTGGGCGGGAATGCGGTGGGATGGGATGCGGTGGCACAGGATGGGACGGGATGCGGTGGCACATACACCACGGGATGAGATGGAATGGGGAGGGCTGGGCTGGGATGTTGTGGTACATACACCACGGGATGGGATGCTGTGGTACATACACCACGGGATGGGATGCGGTGGCACATCACGGGATGAGATGGGATGGGGAGGGCTGGGATGGGATGGGGTGCTGTGGTACATACACCACGGGCTGGGATGCTGTGGTACATAGACCACGGGCTGGGATGCGGTGGTACATAGACCACGGGCTGGGATGCGGTGGTACATACACCACGGGATGGGATGGGATGGGGAGGGCTGGGCTGGGATGTTGTGGTACATACACCACGGGATGGGATGCGGTGGCACACCACGGGATGAGATGGGATGGGGAGGGCTGGGATGGGATGGGGTGCTGTGGTACATAGACCACGGGCTGGGATGCTGTGGTACACCACGGGATGGAATGCGGTGGGCTGGGATGCGGCGGCACAGGACAAGGGCTGGGATGGACGGGCCGGTACCGGCGGTGTCCCCGCAGGCTGTGACGAGCGCTCCTGGGGCCCCGACTGCTCCCAGCGCTGCGAGTGCCACCACGGAGCCCCCTGCGACCCCCTCAGCGGCGCCTGCTCCTGCCCCGCCGGCTTCGCGGCTCCGCGCTGCCGCGATCCCTGCCCCGACGGCACCTACGGCCGCGGCTGCCGCCTGCGCTGCGCCTGCCCCCCCGCGCCGCCTGCGACGCCTCCACCGGCGCCTGCCGCTGCCCCCCGGAGCTCGCCGGGCCCCTGTGAGTGCGGGGGACCCCGCCCGGAGCCCCCCACCCCTGCTGGGGGGGTCCCGCTCACCCCTCTCCCCCCCCCCCCCCCCCCCCCAGCTGCGAGGTGCCGTGCCCCGAGGGGACCCCCTGCGACACCCCCTGCCCCTGCCAGAACGGGGGCCTCTGCCACCCCCCCGGCACCAGCTCCTGCGTCTGCCCGCACGGATGGATGGTAGGAGCGCTGCGACCCCCCCCAGGCGCGGGGGTCTGCCTCGGTGTCCCCATTGAGCCCCCTGCTCCTGCGCAGGGGGAGATCTGCTCCGTGCCGTGCCCCCCCGGGCGCTTCGGGCCCGGCTGCCAGGGCGAGTGTCACTGCCACAACGGGGGACGCTGTGACCCCAAGGGAGGGCAGTGCCAGTGTGCCCCCGGCTTCACCGGAGAGCAGTGAGCAGGGAACTGGGGGGGGGGGACAGGGGATGGGGAGCGGGGATGGGGCACGGAGGGACCGGGTGCTTTGGGACGGGAGCACCGGGGACAGGCGGAGATGGGAATGGGATGGGGGGGCACAGGGAGGGGACTCTGGGGATGGGGCGCTTGGGGACAGGGGCCCAAGGGGGAGGATGGAGATGGGGGGGCACGGGGGGGGGGGGGGGGGCACACACGGGGACGGAGCCTTCGAGCCCCGCCGCTGCCGGTGCCCGGTCCCGGTGCAGCCCCCGCCCCGCTGCAGGTGCCGGGAGCGGTGCCCCGTGGGGCGCTACGGGCCCGACTGCCGGGAGCGCTGCGACTGCGCCAACGGCGGCCGCTGCTTCCACGTGGACGGCGGCTGCTTGTGCGAGGCCGGGTTCCAGGGCAGCCGCTGCGAGGAGCGGCGCTGCCAGCCCGGGCTCTACGGGATCCACTGCGAGAGCCGCTGCCTCTGCCACCCGCAGCACAGCCAGAGGTGGGACACACAGCCCCCGCCCCATCCACACACACCCACTTCCACACACACCCGCCTACATCCACCTACATCCACCCACATCCACCCACATCCATCCCGCATCCACCCACATCCACCTACATCCATCCCGCATCCACCCACATCCATCCCACATCCACCCCACATCCACCTACATCCATCCCGCATCCACCCACATCCATCCCGCATCCACCCACATCCACCTACATCCACCCACATCCACCTACATCCATCCCGCATCCACCCACATCCACCCACATCCATCCCGCATCCACCCACATCCATCCCGCATCCACCCACATCCACCTACATCCACCCACATCCACCTACATCCATCCCGCATCCACCA